GAGAGAGAGAGAGAAAGAGAGTGAGTGGGGGGAGTGGGCAGAGAGAGAGGGAGACACAGAAACTGGAGGAGGCTCCGAGCTGTCAGCACAGAGCCTGACTCTGTGGGGCTCAAACTCATGAACCACGAGATCTGACCTGAGCGGAAGTCAAACGCTTAACTGCCTGAGTCACCCAGGTGCCCCTCGGGCGTTTTTAAGGTGGGAGAAACTATGGCAGGTTTGTTTGCCATCAGGAGTGCTAGAGGGAAAATGGACATGGAGACTTAGGAACCTGTCCTCAAGCAGGTAATGGGGGTGGTGCCAACAGTGTACAGGGGAGAGACGGATTGGCCTTGAATCAAAGAGGGGCCAGCTCTTCCTGGTAAAAGAAAGTCATACCATCTGACATTCCCTCTGGATTGTGAAAACCGCTCTTGTTCCTTCTGTGTTGGCAGTTACTGTGCACAGCATAAAACTCAAGCAAGGTCTTTGGACTGTAGTCTGGTATTGATGTAAATGGTAGGGCTTCCTTTACGAACCATAATGAAGAACTGGACAGATGGTCGTGATGTTTGTTCTAAGTGGCTGGGGCCGGAGGGAGAGGACGGTGGTGGGCAGTTACAGCAAGGGATGCTGGGGAAGGATGGGGAGCCCCCTGGCAGGAGCAGCTGTGACACTGCGATTTATAATAATCTATGTGGTCTTTGCTCCTTTTCTGGCTCATAGCACCTAAAACCCTTGGAATTTTGTGCGGTGAGAGCAGAGGTGTCTTTTGTTATGTTAACGAGGTGGCTTTTGGAAAACACCTAGGTAACCTAAAGCTGGGGGCTTGTTGCCAGGGCCCCAACCTTGTAGAGGTTGAAATAGCCGGTCTGACCCTTGGCCTTCTGGAAAGGGAGAAGGGGTGGTTGGAGCTTGAATCAATCGCCAGTGGCCAATGATTTAATCAGTACTGACTTCGTAATGAAGCCTCCATCAAAACCCAAAAGGACCAAAAAAACCCCCCAAAAAACCCAAAAACCAAAACCCAAAAGGACAGGGTTGAGAGAACTTCCAGGTTTTAGGGCATGTGAAGATTTGGGGAGAGTGGGGCTCCTGGAGAAGGCATGGTAGCTCCCACCCTTCCCCATACCTTGCCTGTGTGTCTCATCCATCTTCCTGTTCCTGAGTTTTATTCTGGTTTATAATAATTACTGATTTACAATAACCGGGAATCCAGTAAGTAAAATGTTTTTCTTGGAGTTCTGTGAGCTGCTATAGCAGATGACTCGAACTCAAGGGGGTGTTTTTTGGAACCTGTGCTCTGTAGCTGATTGGTCCAGAAGCACAGATGATAACCTGGACTTGCCACTGGCTTCTGAAGGGTGTGTGGGGGTGGGGGGTGCGGTCTTGTAGGACTGAGCTCTTAATCTCTGGAATCTGATGCTGTCTCCAGGAAGACAGTGTCAGAATTGAGTTGAAGTATAGGACATCCAGCTGGTGTCTGAGAATTGCTTGGTGGGGGTGTGGGGGGGGACCCACAGACTGGAATTGGGTGTGGGGTCATTAGCAGCCAGGGTGGGGTGGGAGGAGGCTGAAGGGGGTTGTGGAGCCTGAAGAGCCCCCAAGGTGAGGCCTGTGGGTGTATTAACACAGTGGAACACTATTCTGCAATGAAAAAGAGTGAGCGGCATGGATGGATCTCATAGCCACCGTGCAGACTCTAAGAAATCGGTCCACACTAGCATGTGGAGCAGGGCTGCTTTCAAAGTTGGGCAAAAGAGGTCAGGACAGTGGTTACTGGGGATGGAGTTGGGTATTGGCTGGGAGGAATATGAGAACCTTTAGAGGGCTGGAAACTTCTAGCTTGATCTGAGTGGTGGCTGCTCCGGTGAATAAATTGGTAAAAATTCAATGAGACTGCATTTAAAATGTGTGTGTTTTAAAAAAATAAAATAAAATATGTGTGATTTACGTAAAATGGATCTCCATAAAAGAAGAAATGAGCCGAGCCAAAAAGCTAGACTTTGACAGAAGGGCAGGTGGGAGCCACAGAAGTTTGAGCCAGGGCTAGGTCCAGGGACGTGTGAATGTTGGGAGAGTCCTCGGGGTCCCGGGATGCAGGTGCATGGAAGGAGAGAGGCCAGAATCTGCCTCAGCCTCAGCTCCTGACTGGCTTTCTAACTGCCACCCCTCTCTGGGCCCTCTTTTCCCCAACCAGCCCTCTCACGGGAGTGGAGGTAAAACAGGAGAGAAGTCCAGAGCATGTGAGACTGAGCTCCCTGGGGACAGACATCTGATTCGTGCCTGCGGCCCTACTAGCCCCTGATAGAAGTGCTGATTTTGTGAGGGGGAGTGCAGAAGCTGCTGCCGGAAGGGGGGTCTCAGGACCCATGCCCCACATTGGGAAATGGGTGAAAGCGGGGCAAATCCAAGATACTTGAGAACGGATCGCTCACGTGTCCTCTTAGTTTCTTAGTGAAAAGCCACTTCTAACCAGTTCCTGCCTTGTCACAGTGAAAACCACCTTAGCTGGAGGTGAGGAATTTGGGCCCCCCAGGCGTTCAGGGTTTTCATTCAGTGATATTCACTGAGGCCCTGCATGTGCCAGCCCTTGACATTGAAGACACAGTAGAGAACAGAAATGAATGTATTTCATTTAATTATTAATCATACCTGAGCTTCTCAATGGGCCCGGTGGCTAAGTGCTGGGGCTCTGGAGCCAGGCTCCCTGGGTCAGAGCCCAGCTCCCCCTTCTCTACTGTGGCTTTGGGCAGGTTTCTTAAATCTCTCTCTGCCTCAGTTACTTTTTATGTAAAACGGGGCCACACAATACCCACTTTGCCTCCTTTTTAGAGATTTTGTGCGGTCGTTTGGCAGGGGATCTGGCTGTAACACTGCAAGGAGGGCTTCCTGCAGGGGGAGGGTGTTGGAGATGTCTTCATCCAGTTCCTGTCTCCTGTACTGCCAAGTGGGCTGGCGTCCAGAGGAAGGGCAATTCGTGGCAGTGGGTGGTGCAAGCCCCAGTTTAGCTCCCGGAGCCGAGGGATGAGGCTAACTGTGGCTTTGCAGGGAAATCCGAAGATAGCTCAGCAGAGAAGGATGACTCCCAGCCGGGCTTCCCCGCAGAGCGAAGGAAGCGAGGGTGAATCAGCCTCTCAAAGTGGAATGGAGCCGTTGAGGGAAGTGATGGGAAGTGAAACCTCCAAGAGGTCCAAGGCCACTCGGCCTCTGACTCACCTCAGGCAGGGCAGAGGGAGGGCTCAGCCACAGGGCAGGGCAAACTGGGTGTGAATCTGGGCCCTGCGGCCAGACCTCCAGCCTCTAGACGTGGCCCTTCCTGCAACCTCAGTTTCTGTATCTCTACAACGGGGTGGGAAGGGTTTGGTCGAGGTGATTTACAGGAGGGAAGCACACAGTAGGGCCTCCAGAACTGCCAGCCCCTCCCCCTTTCCTGTCTGAGCCTTAAGCAGGTAATGAAATGAGTATGTTGGGATAGTTTGGGGTTCTTGTTAGTCTCCTGACCGGTGAGTCGTCACCTAGGTCCTGGCGAGATGAGTAGGGGAGGGAGGGCGGCAGGAAAAAGAAAAAGAGCAGCCATGCACCACATCTGAAAATCAGTAGCGAAAATAAAAATGATGAACTGTCTCTCGTGTATCTGGTTCTTACTAAATGCCTGCCCGTCTGTGCCGGTCCCTGTTTTCATCTCCACAGCAGTTCCATGGGAAGGTGGACCCATGCTAGAAGTGAGGTAAAATGTTCAGAGAGGTGAAGCCACTTGCCCAAAGTCACACAGGTAGTGGATGGCAGAGCTAGGCTTTGGACCCTGAACCAAATCCTGGAATTGAAGCCTTTGCTCTTAGCCTCAGATCTGTGGGGGTCGGGGTTATTGAGGACCCACAGACCTGGGAGGGCACTTAGAGGAGGGGTCTGTTTTATAGACAGGGAAACTAAGGTTCAGGCCAGACAGGGGCCTTCCACTGGATGATCTGCCTGTTGGGAGTGTACATATGTTCAGAAAGAAACAGCAACTTCGCCTGGCTTTGTTTAACATTTATTACAAAGTTAAGAGCAGAGACTGGTGAGTTGTGCCCCCCGCCCACCTTCTCCCCACCAGATACTCTGCAGCTCTGGAAAACTGTGTTCTCCTTGCTCTCCCGCCAGAGGGCGCTGCTTCTTCTCAGCCTCAGGCCTGGTTCCTTCAGCTCCCTTATCCAGCGGTAACTGAGGCATCCCAGGATCCTGGACTCTGGGCCCCCCCCACCCCTGGTCCCCTCCTCCTCTGGGACCCAGAAGTCTCACCCCCCCAGGCACCTCCCCTTCTAACTGAAAGCTGGAGGTCATCCGTAGCAGCATAGTGAGGATGTTTTGTCGAGGGTATGTAGGGTAGTAGTGACCATTTTCCCGTTGGGGGCAGGGAGTGGGCGTGTGTGTGTGTGGCCACGGCCCTTCTCCTTGAGCCAGTGTCTCCTCCAGCAGCCATCCGTGAGTGAGCCCATCCAAAGGTGGAGCCCCCTTCAGTCCTTGCACTCGAGGTGCTTTATTCGTAGGGCTGGGTCAGGAGTAGCAGGGACAATGTCCTCGACCTCAATCCTGGGGAAAGTAGCTTGGTTCTTCCTCCATGGGTCCTGGGGAGACAAATAGAGACATGGCTAGACAGGCAGGCCAGAAGCCAGAGGGAGAGCAACAGCAGGGACACTGAGGTGGAGACAGACACCAGTGGACAGAGGAGGAAGGAAGAGGGTGGGTGTACCTGCCACCAAGAGACTGGGCATTTGCACAGAGACTGAGAGCATGCCCAGAGACAGGCAGGCAGACCAAGCAAAGAAAGAGGGAGAAGATATTGAGGGTCAGCAAAGAGAAGGACTATCTCCTTCCTTTCCTGCTAGTCCAGCCCCAAACTTGAGTCCTGTCTTCCAAACAGCAGAAGAGAAAGGGTAGCCTTGTCCCCGAGACCATCCCCTGCCCCTTAGCCCCATGGGGCGCTATCCACAGGCACCATTTCTCCAGGATGTTCTGCCTGAGTCCAGCCCTCTCACCAGCTACGTGGCCTCCTGGCTTGGTTCTGGAAGCTGCTGCGGCCCCAGGGCATTGCTAAGCAGCTCGGTCAGGGTGTCCAGCTTCCGGGCCAGTGCATCCATCCGCTTCTCCAGGGCCTGATGGGAGCTGCTCAGACCCAGCTGCAGGTCACACAGGATCATGTGCATCTGGGCAGAGCAGGTCAGAGGTATCAGTGGGTGAGGTAGACTTCCCCTTATCCCAGCTACTTGGCTCAGTGCTTTCCCTACATGGTTTAAAACTCCTTAAAAGCGCGAGGAGTGCGAATTCTGTTCCCATTTTTACAGCTATGTAAACAGGCCTAGAGCAGTTAAAATGACATGCCCAAGGCAGCACCTAGAATAAGGCTTAGTACGTAGAAGGTAGGTGCTCACTAAACATGTGTGGAATTGATGAATGGCTTCAGAATGCACGTAGCCCTTTCATTACCTTCTCAGATGAGGATTCACAGCTTCATCCTTGAGGGTGTGTGAGCTTTCTATGAGAATTCTTGAATTCTATGTTTTTTGGCCGGATAGTCTTCAGAAATTATGACCTGCCAATTCTGGCAGATCTAGGCCACCACCTCCTCACTGAGACCTGCCATGCAGTTTAGGGCCTGCATCTGTGACTGTGTTTACCATGGCATTGGCACCAAGGGTCACTGTTTGAATTGTCTCGGGCTAATGAGAAAAAGCAAAGGCCACCGGATAAGCAAAAGGCGCTGTGAGCCAAGCCAAGGGATGTGACATCACCACCCCAATCACTGGCCGAATCAAGTGGCCCCAGCAGAAGAATGGCAAGTGGAGTCTGCCTTGGCCAGGCCAGCGTGCCCAGGGCAGAAGCCTTGGGCCCCTCTTTACAATCACAGCAGAGACTGACTTCCTTGGAATGATGGCATCGGTCTGTGTCCGTGTTAATTTGCATTTTATTGGTTTTGCCATTTATGTTTGAATTTGGCTCGTATGTTTGCTTTGGTTTCATGTTGTCTAAGAGAGTTAGAAGGAATGTTATCTGCCCACATGTAACACGACAATAAAAATGATTTAAAACTAAATGCTGGAGTTCTTACACGATTTAAGTTTAAAAGGGATCTGTCCCCTACATGAGTTTAAGAAACTACTGAATCATTCATTCAACCACAAACCTTGGTCAAGTGCGTGTGTGTGCCAGACCCCTGCCAGTGTTCTGTATGCCGGGACCAGATTTCCCTACCAGTGCCATGGCCCCGAACTCCCTTTTCTTCCAGACCCCTCCCACCGGGCCCCGGTACCTTGGAGATGTCCACCATGGAGTTCACTTGCTCCCGGAGCTTTCTGTGTTTCAGCCGCACCTGGCGGAACCTGTGGGAAGAGGTGCGAGGTTAGAAGTGACCCTTGCTGAGGGATGGCTAAGGGGAGAAGAGACTCACAGAGACACGGAGCAGTGGGGAAGGGTTTCCAGAGAGCTGCACCCGTGAGCCCATCTTCCAGGTAGAGACCCAGGTATCCTGACCCACATGTGGAGTGGCACTGACCCACAGACACTGAGACGTGCAAGATGAATCATCAGAGTCACTGTGAGGTCTAGGTGGACATCTGTTCGGTGAGACCGCACATGGGTGTCCTGACCCGGGCACGCACTCACGCTCGCTCACACACACTATGCAGAATGGAGGAGATGTGCACAGAGAGGCCCTCACCTGTTGATGGCAGCCAGCAGCCTGCGCTGGTGCCTTCGGGCAGCTCCACGCTCCTTCCTCCGTGTGTGTTTATAGAACATCCAGGCCTCTTGCAGCACTCGGGCAGCTGATTCCTTCATCTGAGGGTGGGCACGGTGTCAGCGGAGACACCCCTAGGGCTCTGGGAAAGGGGCTGGGGCCTGGACTCCCTGGTCTGAGGGAAGGGAGGGTTGGAGGCTGGGGCAGGAGGGGATGGGTGGGGACTCCTGGGTCTGAGGGAGGCGTGTGCTATGGGTGCCATGTGCCCATCCTCACCTCTTTGGCATATTGGATGTCCATCATGAAGTTGTGCACGTGCTTCTCTGCTTTATTAAACTCCAGCTTCCGGGCCACCACGGCCACCAGCAGGGCTGTGCAGCAGACCCCCTGTGGGCACAGCAGACGCGATGACAGGAGGCCTCTGGGGCTCCTGTGCCACCAAACTCTCTCCTTGAACCCTCACAACAGCCACAGAAGGCAGGCAAGACCACCCCTAGTTGACAGACGAGCAGGCCCAGGGAGAACCACAGTCCCACAGCTGTGAGGGGTAGAGCTAGGATCACAAGTCACATGTCTGAGTCCCACTCATGTGTAGCATTCATACCACCAGAACATCCTCTTTCGTTAAGGGCGTGATTGGAGAAGGAGAGATTCTGGGCGAGGGGCAGTCCCCACCACTGCCTCCCCATTGCTCTCACCCAGTTGGCAATCAGATCACTGAGGTTATCCCTCAACCTCCTCCCACTCCTGTGGCTCCTGGCCACGTCCCTTCCCTCCTGGACCATCTCCAGCCTCCCCTCTCCTGACCTTGACCTCAGAGAGATCTAACAATTATGACCCTGCCCCCTTACCCTAATCTAGGCTCCCCCTGCCCCAAACTTCTTAGCCTGGCTTTCAGAGCCTTCCAAGTTTAGGCTTTGCCTCCAGACAACTCAGCCTGGCCTCATTGTGCCTCAGCTGCCTGAGCGCTTTGGTCCATAAGCTTCTCCCTTCTCCCAAGGCCTCTGACCCATCAACTGCTCAGTGGCACCTGCTGTGCTTCCTTACAATAAATTTTCTTCTGGAGCCTTCCTCTTCCCCAAGCTGTATCTCAGCTCACAAAACCTCTGAACAATTTACTTGTTGCAAACATCGGTTCCCCGACTGCTTGTGTTCAAAGCCCAGCTCTGAGCATGTTCCTTGATCTCTCAGTGTCTCACTTTCTTCCTGTGAAATAGGCACGCCCTCACAGTATGACCCTGTGGATTCCTTAAGTTAACACCTGGAAAGTGTTCAGAGCAGAGACTGGCACAGAGTATGTGCTCAGTAAAGTTGGCTATGATTATTCCATTATGCTGGGGAACCTCTCAGCCAGGAGTTGGGCTGTGAGCTCTAGTGCAAATTGCCTGATCTTTCTAGGTCTCTCCTTGACCAAGGTTTCTCCTTGTGTCAAATGAGGGAGGAGGTCCCAGGCAGCCCTGAGGGTTCCTGACCTTTTGGGAGTGTTTCCTTGGTTGAACCTCTATCCCTCTTTGCTGGTCCCAAAGACTCACCCCTGGGGAGGGGATCACACTTAACTATCACCCCATCCATCACCAGTGGGCCCAGGGCTTGGAGATGCAGCATGTCCTTTCTGGGACAACATCAGGGCTGGGGGCTGGCAGCCCGAGTCCCTGAGTGTGGGAGGAGCCATATCTCATGAGGAGGTGAAGGCCAAGGCCTTGAGTGTTGGGTCCTGGATGGGGCTAGGGACCAGGTGGGGGGAACTAGATGCCTGGGTCTATGAAAGAAAGCTGGTAGATGTCAGGATTCAGGAGGAGGCTAGCTCTGGGGACCCTTTGCCTCATCCTTGAGAACAGAGGAGCTAGGGTGGGGACAGCTGGATGCTTAGGACTAGTTAACAAATAACAGCCCTCTCACCCCCACCCCCTAACCCATGTACTGAACGTTTCCTACGTGCTTGGTGCTGTCTGACACCCTTTATGTGGTTTAATTAATTTAATCTCAGGAACCCCATGAGGAATATGCTAATATCAGCATGTTCATTTTATAGATGAAGAAACCAGGAGATTATAAGGCTTGATCCCTGCTTTGAAGTGGCAGAAACAGGATTTGAATCCAGGCAGCCTGACCCTACAGGCATGCTTTTGATGAATCTATAGCCTTAATGGAGGCTGGAGACTGGGTTCCTGAATCCTGGAGGAGCCTAGCACTGGGAAATCAGGTGTCTGTGTCCCAGACAGTTAGTTGAGAGGGTAGGGGTGTGAGGGGCAGGGTGTCTGAGCCTTCATGAGGCTCAGGGCTGGATTCCTGGATTCCAGAAGGAAATAGGGCTGGGAAGTCAGGGGCCTGTTTTCTTGAGGACGGTGAAGCCTAGGGTCCTAGGTTCCAAAGAGAGCAAGGACTTATGGGATGGATTCCTGGGTTTTGTAAGGAAATGAGGCAGTGGGTGTCCAGACACCCAAGTTTCTTGGGAGTGTCCTTGAATGCCTTTGTTGGCTCCATGATTTCCTGGGGCCCAGAGGATGAGCAATTTGGGACAGGGGTAGGGTCCCTGAGGAGGCTGTACTCACCATGACTCCAGTGCAGAGGCAGACAATCTTGCCCCACATGGTGCCTGGCACCACGTCCCCATAGCCAATGGTCAGGAATGTGATGGGGATCAGCCACAGTGTGTCCGAAAGGTGTCCGGTGGCATTAACAGCCTGCCTGTGGGGAAAGAGGAGTTAGTTCTGAAACCTCACCCCAGGGGTTTCCATGATGTCTGATACTCTCCTTCCTAACACACCTACAGTCCCCAGAAACAGAGAAAAAGTCAGTAAGTTCTGGGCTTTGGAGAGCCTGCCCGGCTTCCTCTCTGCTGTGTGAGCTGGGCAAGAGAGGCTCAGCCACTCTGGGCTATGGAATTTGAACCTGGATCCAACCAATTCCAAAGCCTGTTTGGTTTTAGCTAGGTTACCAGGACTGCTGCTTTCAGAGTGTATTGTTGGAGGGTTGAGAGGGGGCAACAACCCAGCCCAAAGTCCACTTGTCCACGCTGACAGTGATCCCATCTACCCGGAGGAAGGGGAGCCTTTTTCTTAATTTAAAAAAAAAAAAATTACATATCTATATCTATCTATCTATTTATGGTAATCTACACCAATGTGGGGCTCAAACTCACAACCCCAAGATCAAGAGTCTCATGCTCCACCTACAGAGCCAGCCAGGCACCCCAGGGGCCCCTTTTTCTAATGTCTACAAAGATGTTGTATGGCCTATGGGTGCCCCATCAAGACTAAAAAGGCAGGACCCTGTCCTCCCTTCCCCTCACTTCACGGAAGGAGACATTTAGTTCCAGCCATGGAAGGGATTGAAGATCCTGATTTGTCTAACTCAAGCCCACAGACCGCTTGCATCGGGGTCAGCAGGGAAAGCTTCATTCATGATGCCCCTAGACCCACCACAGCCACTACTCTCTGGAGGCAGGGACTGAATTTACACTGTTAATTCCCACTCCCTTCATCCAGAAGGACATTCAGGTTTGAGGACTTCTGTCTTGGGATTTAGAAATTTGACCCCCTCCCACCCTCCCATTTTTCAGATGAGAAGCATGGTGGGAGGAAAACAGATTCTGCAAGATGAAGGAGTTGAAAATCATGAGATTAGAATTGCTGGGGAGACTTGAACGATGCTGGGATTTGACACCCATTTTACAGATGAAGGAACAGAGGGTCAGAGAGGAAGGATCTAAAGCCAGTGCTTGTCATTCCCTGCCTCTTTTCAAGAATCCTTTGCCAGAGGTACTGAACCAGAGGTTCCCAAACTTGAGCAGGGATCAGAATCACCTGTTAAAACAGATTGCTTGGCCCCACCCACCAGAGTTTTAATTTGGTAGGTCTGGGTAGGGCTTGAGAATTTGGATTTGCAGCAAGTTCCCAGGTGATGCTGCTGGTCCGGGAACCACACTTTAAGAAACACCGACTAAGATTACCTTCGCTTTCTTTATCTGTAAGAGAGAGAAACTGAGGCCCTGAAAGGCTACAGGCCCAGCATCCAGTCTGTCCAGCAGGCAGCCTGGAATCCTGTATCCATTCCCGGCAGGGAATTTCCTTCCAGAGCAGCCCCAAATCACCCCCTGTCCCAGGATCACAGGGAGTGCCCACAGAGCATCTCTGTGATAATTCGGAAAAGGTGTCACTGACCTCCAACCGGGCAGTCGCAACCCTTGGCCAGGCGCCAGAGACTGAATAGATGCCTGGAAACCTGAGACAGGGCAGGTGTGGGAGTGGGAAGGGAAGGGCTTCCTAGGGCCTGTGTGTGTCTGGGGAGACTGGAGGTGGTCAGTTGGTTCCTCTCACCCCAGTGGATGAGTGTGGACAAACAGCTTTCTCCTCCGCTTCGCCCCCCAAGGGGCCCAAGCTGTACCGCCATCCAGGGAAGCTGTGGCTGTAAGCGGCTCCCTCGGATGCTCCAGGTACCCCGACCCTCCACCCCCAGTACCCTCACCTCTCGGCCACCGACAGCACCCAGGCGGTGGTGAGCCAGAGGCCAAGCGTGAGGCAGAGCAGCAGGCGACCGGGGTGCGTGTTCATGTACAGCTTGGCCACGAACCAGTGGCGGAAGCGGACCTGGTTGAGGGCGCCGATGCTGCGGTAGGACGCGTTGAGCAAGACGCCGCTGCGCAGGAGGACGGCGCGGGGCACCAGGTAGAGGCGCAGCAGCATGGCCAGCGACAGCAGCGCCTCCCCCTCATCCAGGAAGCCCGGCCAGGACTGCGTCGCCGCGGACCGGGACCCTAAACCCTGAGCGCACCGCGGCCCCCGCACCGGCGCTGGGTGCAGAGCGCACACGGCCAGCTCCAGCACGATCTGCGCCGCCTGCCGCCCGGTCAGCGCCACGCGCCAGTCCCGGAGCCCGTTGTCGGTCATGAACAACTGCGGGGAGGGGACAGAGTGGGGAGGCAGGGGGTCACACGAAGGTCAAGAGGCCGCCTGCCTGTCTGCGTCTGCCTGCGTCCGAAGATAAGGGGGACGCGCCCACCGGGGCCGGGGCCCTGGGTGCGGGGGAGGGGGGGAGGGAGGCAGCACAGGTCGGGCAGGTGGGACTGGGGAGGGTGGGGAAGGAGTGGGACAGGATCTGAGGAGGGCGTCTCTGCACCTTTTCCCACCCCCACCCCCAGTTTCAGCCCACTTCCAGAACTTTCTGTGTGCCCCACATTGTTCTATGTATGGAAGATACAGGTGAGGAAAACAGAAACCCCTGCCTCCCTGGAGCTTACAGTTCACATCCACGGAGCCCTCTCCACCTCCTGCTTCTGGGGACACGGGTAGTAACTAACTGTAAACCGCACACCATTAGCAATGGTTATAGGTGACATTTTACAGGGCACTTTGGACGTGCCAGGCACTACTCTCTCTCCTTTCCATGTTATGACTCAGGGAATGCTGACAACACAGTGAGATTGAAAGCATTATGAGGCCCATTGTACAGATGCAGAAACTGAGGCCCAGCACACTGAGCTATAAATCGAGGCCATTTCACCTTTTGAATGACTGCTGTTAATGATAATACGTACTTTTTACTGAGTGGGCATCACAGGGGGAATTATTACATATGGCCAATAACCCTCATTTTATAGGGTAAAGGGGGAAGGAATAGAGGCAACAGGATCCTGGGATGTGGGGGGTGGGATGAGGGGAGAGGGGTGGAGAGTTGAGTGTCTGGATGAGATATGAGATGGGAGGGGGCGAAGGGTGGAAAGATACCCCACCCACCCCCCCACCAGGTCTAGAGGGTAATTGTCAGAGAGGTGGGGAGCTCAGGAGTAGGGAGGGACCTTCAGGCACAAAGCCTGGAATGGTGGGGCCTCAAGGATGGAGGAGATCTGGGGCGGGGGAGGGGCTGGGCCTGGAGTGGGTGTGCCTGGGGGTGAGAGTGCTCAGCACCCCAGGGCTGCAAATGGAGCACGGGACTGGGTTGCTCCAGGAGGCTCTGTCTGTCTGTCTGTGGTTATTCTCATCTCGGTGGGTGAGGCTGTGGACAAATCTTAGGGTGGAGAAACCTCATTACTCAGACCAGGAGGAGGAGTGTGGAAAGTGTGAGCCGACAGGGTGTGGTGGGGGCTGGGGGGGAGCAAGGAAGGGGCCCCCGGGGTGGGGC